CGTGTGTGTTGGGGAGGTGGAGGTGGGTGGCCTGTAGTAGGCACAAAAAAGGGGGGACTTGTCATATTATTTTAAAGGTTAAGTCTTTTTTTAATTATTCTTTTTCATGGATAAGCTGATAAATAAATTAAATAAATATATTTACTCTGTAATATTGAAATGCAAAGAAAAAAAAAGAATAAATTTAATAAGTGTATGAAGAACTGATTTCTGATCAGACACTGCAAAAATTAGCCATCTAAAAATAAGTTAAAAATACTAGATTAGACCCTTTTCAAATTAATAATAATTAATAAGCTGCAGTTTGACAGTTGCACTTGGTAAGACTTCTCGAAGTTAAAAAAACTTTTCAGATTAACAAGATTAATAATACAACATATTCTGATCTTGTTTAGTATATTGGTCTAAAAACAAGATCAAAAACACTTTTTAGCTGATATAAGACTGTAAAACTTGGTTAGAGAAACATTTTTCTGCAGTAAAATTACTCTACTGCTCAAAAACATTAACAGATTAAAAAAAGCTTCACTTTAAACCTGCTCGGGACCAGGTTAGTTTCAGAGCACTTGTTACCACAGAGACATAAGTGCTTTGTAGTTAATGCAACCGATTCAAGGCTTAATTAATTCAGGTTTACACAAAAATCCCAGGTTAATCCCTTATCCTAGTTTCGTGCAATAGGCCTCTGGTTTCTTTGGAGGCCCAGCAGAACCAAAAACATGAAGTCCAGTGGTTTTGGTCCTGTTGGGCTTCTGTAGATCCAAATTTTACATCAACAAACAAACAAACAAACAAACGAACAGACAGACAGACAAACTATCGATACATCAACCAGTGATCAATAAAAACACTGAGGTGTCCTGATGCTTTTGTGATCGATTCAGTTATTGATCTGAAAATGATCGCTTCGATGTCTTCAGCCTTAATGGAGGTTATTCACTTGGATCAAAGGTCAGCGGGGTGAAGCTCAAACACTTCCTCTTCCTCACAACCGTAATCTGAAAAACACAAACTCAATTAGTCAATAAACCATTCAACCAACAAACTAACCATGTAATTAACGCATCAATTAACCAACCATGCGTCAAACCAACAATGCAATCAACCAAGCATCCAACCCAATCATCTACCAATAATACAATCAACCAACCAACCAAGCATCCAACCCAATCAACTACCAATAATACAATCAACCAACCAACCAAGCATCCAACCCGATCAACTACCAACAATACAATCAACCAACCAAGCATCCAACCCAATCAACTACCGACAATACAATCAACCAACCAACCTACCAAGCATCCAACCAATCAACTACCAGCAATACGATCAACCAACCAACCAACCAACCAACCAACCAACCAACCAACTAGCTACCAGCAATACGATCAACCAACCAATCAACCAACCAAGCATCCAACCAATCAACTACCAACCAACCAACCAAGCATCCAACCAATCAACTACCAACCAACCAACCAACCAACCACCATCAATACAATCAACCAACCAACCAAGCATCCAACCCAACCAACTACCGACAATACAATCAACCAACCAACCAACCAACCAAGTATCCAACCAATCAACTACCAGCAATACAATCAACCAACCAACCAAGCATCCAACCCAATTAACTACCAACAATACAATCAACCAACCAACCAAGCATCCAACCAATCAACTACCAGTAACACGATCAACCAACCAACCAACCAACCAACCAACCAACCAACCAACCAACCAACCACCAGCAATACGATCACCCCACCAAGCATCCAACCAATCAACTACCAACCAACCAATTAACCAACCAACTACCGACAATACAATCAACCAATCAACCAGGCTTCCAACCAATCAACTACCGACAATACAACCAACCAACCAAGCATCCAACCCAGTCAACTACCGACAATACAACCAACCAACCAAGCAACCAAGCATCCAACCCAGTCAACTACGAACAATACAACCAACCAACCAACCAAGCATCCAACCCAACCAACTACCGACAATACAATCAACCAACCAACCAACCAAGCATCCAACCAATCAACTACCAGCAATACAACCAACCAACCAACCAACCAACCAACCAACCAACCAACCAACCAACCAACCAATGTCCACTAACTAACCATAACTAAACAGTCAACCAACCAACAATGTTACATTTTATTTAATTAACTAACCACTCAACCTAACATCTTACCAATTAATTGACCAATAATAATTTTGATTAATATGTTTTAATATTTTCAGAATAAAAGCCCAGACTGACCTCCTACAAGCTGCAGTGCACTCACACACTCTTCCTCCACTTCCTCCACCTCTTCCTCCTCTTCCTCCTCCTCCTCAGCAGGGGGCAGAGCAGCTGGGGCTGCAGAGTCTGAGTCTGGTACAGCATCAGGAGCTGGTGCCGCTTCAACTTCTGTTGTTTCTGTTGTCATGGTGACAGCAGTTTCCACCTGAAACCAGAGAACATTCATGTTACTGTTGCTTCCTGACGGCTTCCTGCAAGCGAGACAGGTGTGTACCTGGAGCGGTGTTTTCTTCTTCTTTGGTGTGGAAGAAATGAGGCGGCGGAACCTGAAACATGAGCAGAAAAAAGATGACTCTGACTGCTGGTGACTTCCTGTCTGCGGGGGATCGCTGTTGGCCACTACCTCTTGCCCATGATGGTGGCATTGACAGAAAGGTCAGGGTTGACCTCGATGGTCTTCCTGCGGCGGCGGCTGAGTCGTTTTCTTGTGGCTGTGCCCTCTAGTGGCTTAGAGGTCACAGTGCTGGGACTTCCTGTCACCCCGTTCAGGTCTTTAAGGACCTCGTAGTTGATCTTACTGGAGATCTTCTTCTTCTCCAACATCTTCTCAATGGCCTCGCCTGCGGTCGACGCCTCAATCTGCTCGCGTTTCTTGTATGTCTTCTTCTGCAGCAGACACAGTGCAGGCGGAGGTCAAAATAGGGTTTGAGTCCCTGCATTGGAGGCTGGGAGACCCCATGGTTTACTCACCCTCTCCTTGTATGTGCCCTGCTCCTTCTCCTTGTTTATTCTCTCTTCCTTCTCTGTAAACACAAACAACCAATCAGCCATCAGATTTGTTCAGACTTGGCCATGGGATCAGGTGATTGGTCACATGACTCGCCCACCTTTCTGCTCCTTCAGGTACTCTTCATTCTGTTTCATCCACAGCTCTGTCTTCACTTGAACCTCCTGCTCATTCAGGATGTACTGCAGACAGAAGCACCCATTGCCTTTCACAATGAAAGTCCAAACTCGGACGCACATGTAAGGACTTCCTGTCAACGTCCCTCTGACCCAGGTGAAACCTCAGCTTACCTTTTCAATCTCCTGATCGTCGATTCCTTTCAGGTCCAGCTCCCCATTCTGTGACGACTCGTCTGAAACAAACAATTAGCTCTCAAGTGTTTGAAACTACTTCCTGTTTGGTGGTGAATGATGCTAAGGGGGTTAGGGGGTTAACATATTTGTGTCCACACATTAAATGCACAGAAGACCCTCTGTAACAGAGCTCAGGACCATTTCCTCTTTGGGAACTCTAAATTGTAAGGACTTTGTGTGGATAATGTAGCCAGGCTGATGTCATGATGAAGGATTTATGCTCACCATCTGCTTTCAGACCTGTTTCTGACTCGTCCAAGAATTGAAGGCTTTCCTGGAGGCCTGGCCTGGACTGGCCTGGCAGCTTTCCCAGGATGATAGACAGAGGGGTGACCTGAGCATGTGTCCTTGTCCCAAACTTTTCTGGCTCCACCTCTTGTTCACAGAAACCTTCATCTGCTGTCTTGCCCTGCCCCTCTTCTTCCTGAATCACCTGGCACAGGAAGTCCTGGGCCAGTTGCTGAGTGGCCGCCCGCAGCTCGGTTTCCTCCATCTCTTCTGGGTCAGATGCGGAGGACAGGACCTCTTCCTCCTCAGGGGCTGAAACCAGAAATAAGGTTGTGAGTCTGGTTCTGACATGTAGCACAGGGAGGGTACGGGTGATTGAATATCCTCACTTCTTATTTTAATAAAAATGTTACAAACTCAATGCATACAAGCGATGGCAGAGTTACCCCTCTGAAAAAGAAGGTAAATAGAGAACAATTCCTGCTTTCATTCAGAGCTTTGAAAAAGAAGGAAAGTTAGCAGAGAAACAGAAAAAAGGTTCTAAAGAACAAAAAATAAAAATCTGAAATATAAGAACAGAGCAGGAAGTCTGACATTTTAAAGATCTAATACGACTGTTAGGAAGCGTTCAAACACTGGATGCCTGAATAATTGTGCAGAAACCAAGTTCAGTTTTCAGTTAAAAGGTTTATTTGTCAGATCTAAAAACTCCATGCCCTGCTCAGAGCCACTGTGTGTATGTGGCCCAGAGTCTAATCAGAAGATTAAAACCAAGGCTTCTAACTTCTGCTGCTACCTATGCTCAGGTCTTACGCGTCTCTTACAAACCAAAAGATTTTAAGCAGGGCTCTCTGCAGTACATGGGGGAGTTTCTTGCTGTGTGGGCGGAGTTTATCCTACTCGTGATCGGCCGAGCTCTTTGTGTGGAGCAGGTTTGGTATAAACATGATTGGTAGAGTTGGTGTGTGGGCGGCGCATGGCAAAACCGTGATTGGTTGGATTGATTTGTGGGGCAATTTAAAAGAGGAAGTAATGATAATAGAAAAATAATATGATTTATTGTCTGTCTTCCCAGAGAAGGGTCATTTAACATTTCTACCTTTGGAACCCAGAGACGGGTCGAGTGGTGCACCACAAGAGGAGGTATGCTTAACTCCCAACTAACTGTTTTCCATCGAGTTTGGCTATTTAGTTTCTAGTTAGTTCTATTCAGTTTATTGTATTTTATACTATAAAGATAATCTTTATATTATAAAATAGAATTAAAATAGAATTATTTTTAATTTATTATCCTTGCATATATAGAACCAAGTCCTGAAGACCAAGTTCTACAGACCAAGTCTTAAAAAACCAAGTCCTGCACACCAAGTCCTACATACCACATCCTAAAAAAACAAGTCCTGAAGACCAAGTTCTGCTCACCAAGTCCTGTAAACCAAGACCTACAGACCAAGTCCTGCACACCAAATCCTACAGACTGAGTCCTAAAGAACCAAGTCCTGCACACCAAGTCCTGCACACCAAGTCCTGCACACCAAGTCCTAAAGAAACAAGTTCTGCACTCCAAGTCCTGCAGACTGTTTTTGATACTGGTGAAGAGAAGTAATGACCTCCTAAGTGTGTTTCAGACAAACAAATATTTCTTTGAACTCCTGAGACTTTTGGACTTCTTGCTAGAAACACTTCTGAAGCTGCTTCTGAGGATTAGCTGAGGTGAACAGGTTACACACAGAACTGCAGTTAGTCTGCAGGAGTAGAGAAGCACCAACCTGTTTCTTTGGTGTAGGCGGCGTAGACTCCTCTCAGTTTGGGGCGACTCTTCTCCAACTCTGTTTCTATTTCATCTTTGAAGCAGCTGATTTCTCCTGACAAAATAGTAGCAACAGAAAGCAAATGAGAACAGAAAGGTCCAGTTTTTAAAGTTTCTAACAGGTCAGTTCGAAAGGTTTCAGATGTCAGAAAGGATTCTAGGAACTGACCTTGTACTTCATCAAGTTTCTTGGCCAGTTCCTGCTCGAGCTGCAGATAAAAACACTTCAGTAAGATCTACTGATCCAGAGAACATTTAGAATTGATCAGTTTAACACTTCTGTACCAAGTCACACATCAAAGAATATGTTCTTTTTGACTTCTAAGATTTTGTGTTTAGTCTATAAAGACCAGAGTTGATGACATCACACCAGGGACCGGCACAGACAGGAGGGTGTGTTCCGCATGAGGAGGATGGTTTCAGTGGAGAAAGCTCAAGTGATTTAGAAGATGTCTATGATGACTGATTTGCAAGTGATGAAGAGGAAATAACTGTTTATCTAAAATTGTGTCCCTTGTCTGCAATTTCCCTTTGGGATCAATAAAGTATTTTTGAATAGGGTCCCACCATGGAGCCAGGCCTGGGAGAGGGAGTAGTCCATGAGTGCCTGGTGGCTGGGTCTCTACCTATGAAGGTTCAGCCTGAATGAGCTACACGGGTTTGCCTTCCTTCCTGTCCACCACCTGCAGGAGGGCCCATATGAGTCAGGAGTATGATGCCATGGGCAGTAGCCAAAAGCCATGGCCTTGGCGCTCTGACCCTGGCCTACCAAAGCTGGCTCTTGGGACCTGGAACGTCACCTCTCTGGTGGGGAAGGAGCCTGAACTTGTGCGTGAGGTTGAGAGGTACCAGCTAGATATAGTTGGACTCACCTCAACACACAGCATGGTCTCTGGAACCGATCTCCTCAAGAGACGCTGGACTTTTCTCTGGAGTTGCCCATGGTGAGAGGGGCCGAGCTGGTGTGGGTCTACTTTTGGCCCCCTGACTTGGTGCCTGTGGTGTTGGTGTTTACCCCAGTAGATAAGAGGGTAGCTTCCCTGTGCCTTCAGGTGGGGGGACGGGCTCTGATGGTCATTTGTGTTTACGCACCAAACTGCAGTTCAGAGTACCCAGCCTTCTTGGAGTCCTTATCAGGGGTGCTGGAAGGTGCTCCAGCTGGGGAATCCTTTATTCTGCTGGGGGTCTTCAATGCCCACGTGGGTAACAACAGTGTGACCTGGAGAGGCGTGATTGGGAGGAACGGCCTCTCCGATCTGAACCTGAGCATTGTTCTGTTGTTGGACGTCTGTGCTAGTCACAGTTGGTCCATCACAAACACCATGTTCGAACATAAGGGTGTCCATAAGTGCACGTGGCACCAGGACACCCTAGGTCATAGATTAATGACTGACTTGTGTCATCTGATCTATGGTCATATGTTTTGGACACTCAGGTGAAGAGAGGAGCTGAGATGTCAACTGATCACCACCTGGTAGTGAGTTGGATCAGATGGTGGGGGAAGATGCCGGACAGACCTGGTAGACACAAATGTGTAGTGAGAGTTTGCTGGGAACGCAGGCATGGCGGCACAAACAAAGATAAGCACTTGAGCACACGAGATGAACATGAACATGACCAAACAATGACTGGATGAGGGAGTGGAGGAAATGAGCCAGTAATAGAGTGACAGGGTAAGTGGAAAGTGAAGACAGCTGTGATGATACAAGTAGCTAACGAGTATCAGTGGACCAAGCAGACTGCAGCCTTGGATGATAATGAGGCAAAAGTTTGGTGAGGTCTTGGACACACTCTCCACTGGTTCTGATGAGATCCTGGCAAACCATCCGGCAGCTGAGGTGGGGAAAGTAGCACTTCACTATGAATGGATGGACTGATGTAAGTGATGAAGAAAGAACTGTTGATCTGAACCTGTTTTGTATGTGGTGGGAGTCGCCATGACCATAAGAAGAGACAGCTCCACAACAAGATTCATCAAAAGAGAAGTGGCTTGAAAACACCGACTGGTATGTGCTACTGTTCACAAAAGACACCAACATCCTGTTGATGCTTGGTTCTGTTGGCCTAATCAGCAGATAACTGGACCAGGTGAGGGTGCTGTACCCCCCCCCCCCCCACCCGAGTGGTCCTTAGTGCACTCATCTTCTCTTCCATCTTTTGAAACAAATATTGGATCAACTACTTCCTCGTCAAAATCCTCCCTTTGTCTCAGACTGGTTTTCTTTTTCATCTCTGTCTGAGGAGGTTTGGACTCCACGGCACTATTGAAAAGAAGGAAACGACCTGCAGTGACCTTGTGTAATACAAATACGGTGGTCTCGCATGACCAGGTCCCTGGTGTGATGTCACAACCCCATGTATGGTAGTGAAAAGCTGTTTCCAAAGAACTGATTGAAACAGCTTTAAAACCAGTTTGTTACTTTTCAACATTTGCAACAGAACATAGGTGTTTATTGTTATGTTTGTGATTTTATTAGGTATATTTCACTTGATATTTGTTGTGTTTATTATTTTATTCATTATACTTCACTTGATATTTATAATGTTTGTTATTTTATTAGTTATTATTTATATTCCTCTCACTGGGCTGCCACCTTATCGTGGTGGAGAGGTTTGAGTGTCCCAGTGAGCCTAGGAGCTATGTTGTAAGGGGCTTTATGCCCCCGGTAGGGTCATCCAAGGCAAACCGGTCCTAGGTGAGGGATCAGACGAAGTGCAGCCCAAAGACCCCTATAATGTGTGCCATGAATGGACTGAGTGTTTCCTCACCCAGCTGCGGGTCACCGGGACCCCACTCTGGAGCCAGGCTTGGAGGTGGGGCACATTGGCGAGCGCCTGGTGGTCGGGCTTTCACCCATGAAGCCGGGCCGGGCACAGCCCGAAGAGGAGAGGCCCCCCTTCCCATGGGCTCACCTGTGGGAGGGGCCGTGGGGGTCGGGTGCAATGTGTGTTGGGCAGTGGTCGAAGGCGAGGACCCTGGTGGTCCAATCCTTGTGGAATCAACTTCCAGTTTCTGTCCGTGAGGCTGATACTCTGTCTACTTTTAAGACTAGACTGAAGACTTTCCTTTTTGATTAATCTTATAGTTAGACTTAGATTTCCTGATTTATTCCTTAGTTATTAATGTTAATTAGTTATGCTGCTATAGGCGTGGACTGCTGAAGGACAAACTGAGCGCATCTCCTCACTCTGCTATTATTTTTAGTCACTCTCCTCTACGTGTTTGTTATAATTATTTCTATCAATAAAATGTGTTTTCTTTGTCTCTCTTCCAGAGGAAAATGCACCTGGGCCAGTCCTGTGTTCGTCTGCGTCTCTTTCCTGTCCCCCAACCTGCGGGTCGAGGCAGATGGCCGCCTGTCCTGAGCCTGGTTCTGCTGGAGGTTTCCTCCTGTTAAGGGGGAGTTTTTCCTCTCCGCTGCTGCCAGTGTGCTGCTCAGGATGGAGACTGTGACCAAGCGAAGATTTGGCGCAGTCTGCTGGCTTCTTAGACTTATAGTTTTGTCTTATGTACATTGCCCTGAGACAACAGTTGTTGTGACTTGGTGCTATATAAATAAACTGAACTGAACTGAACTGAATTGAATTGAATTGAGAGCGCTCCTGATGGGGACTCCCTTGTCTTGCTGGGGGACTTCAACGCTCACATGGGCAACTTACAGTGAGACCTGGAGGGGTCACTGAGGAACGGCTCCCCCGATCTGAACCCGAGCGGTGTTTTGTTACTGGACTTCTGTGCTCATCATAGATTGTCCATAACAAACATCATGCTCGAACATAAGGGTGTCCATAGGCCGCAGTTCGATGATCGACTTTGTTGTTGTCTCATCTGATCTGCGGCCGCATGTTTTGGACACTCGGGTGAAGAGAGGGGCAGAGCTGTCAACTGACCACTACCTGGTGGTGAGTTGGATCTGCTGGCGGGGGAGGATGCCGGTCAAGAATAAATAATGTTAAATGAGTTGAAACCATCTAAGTATAATCTTTTTGAATAAAATAGCCTTTTAAAAAACAGTCTAACAAACAAAACATTTGTTCTGTGCAAAAGACAGATTTTTGCTGCTTGTTCTGGAGAGTGTGGAAAGCTGCTTTGAACAAGGCCAAAGATCTAGAAGGTCAAACTACAGGAGCTGTAAATCTCAGGGTCATGTGTAATCTAACAGACATTTAAACATGAAATGTTCAGATATGCCCATGGGTCAGCCCACTGGCCACTTAGGTAGTTTACAAAATGTCTGCAGAGTAAAAAAACAAAACAAAACAAAAAAACTCTGATTTGGCATGATGTCCCGAGACACTGCCAGCTGATAGAAGGCGTCATAAAACAGAACAGGGCGATAATAAATGCCCTGACGCCCCTCTAGATAAATGTGTTAAATGAGTTAAGGAAAATATGAGCACCAAGCAACAACCCCTGGTTCTCCCTTAAGAACCAGACCAAAAATTTTATGTGCAACCCGGCGTTTGTGTGTCACTTATCAAGTAGGTGACAATATATGAACCCAAATACGGCTGTGGGATGTCAATGATAGGTATTAAGAGAGCAGTGCATTAGTGCTTTACAATTAGGGGACCTAAATATTTGAGTTAGTGTTTTAGGGCTAGTGGAACTAATTTTTAGATTAGTGCTGCCCACTATTGTTTATTACTTTATTAGTTATTAGTTATATTTCACCTTATATTTATTATGTTTGTTATTTTCTTCAGTGGTGAGCACTAGTTCCCTAAAGCATAAATGCGCTAATTGCGGACCTAAAGTTCCCCTTTGTGCTTTAGGGGTTTTACTAATTTCTTTAAATGATGTGTGGATTTGCACTTTCTAAATTTAGAAATGAGTAGTGCTAATCGCAATTAACGCTACAAGTTGTCAATATTGTCTAAAGTAAAGAGAGAGAGCCATCTAAACTCACTACATTTTGTAGCCACATAATTCATTAAAACTTCATCATATTATCATCTTCATCATCACAATGGAGCTCCACTGTGTGGAAACCACGACCCCTCCCTCAGTCAACGTTTTCACAGAGCTTTATACTCTGCCTTACTGTCCTTCTTGGTTACAGTTTTCATTTAGTAGAGAGTTCCCACAATTCTTTGCATGGCAGGAAGCAACTGGAGTTACTTCACTGGGTAACAATCCGCCTGCGGTTCTGATCTACAGAACCATGCTCAGCTGTGCAGTTTTTACCTCCTCTCTGAAGGACATCGCAGCAATAAATATTAAATAAAGAAATAATAATAAATAAAGAAACACAGAACAGTTTAAATTCACGCACTTATTTTGAAAAGAATGGGTTCCTGTTCTTTGTCCTGTAGCCTACCCAGAATGTATTGCTTCATTTTTACAACAAACAGTTTAAAATTACTAATATATCTTCATGTTTCTTACTGAAGCTCTATCAGAAACATAAGAAAATGACCAAGAAGCAGCAGAACTAGCAATCCACAACTATTTCTTTGTTTTAACACCATGATTTAAAAATCTGTTTTGACAAATCACCTCCCTAAACTGCAACGACACGTGCCAATCTGTGGAAGAAAAAGATCTTTCCACTAGATGGCAGTAAAGTGCTGATTTATCTCTTATCTGAATATTTTCTGGTAAAGGGGGATAATCTTGCACTTTATATTTAGCTTCTGCTAAGTTTCATTGAGCACATGTGCTTTTGAACTTGCGGACCTAAATAAATTGACTAGCGCCTTAGAAAATGCGCAACCAAAATTTGAATTAGTGCTGCCCGCCACTGCTTTTATTAGTTACGTTTCACTTGATATTTGTTATGTTTGTTATTTCATTAGTTATATTTCACTGGATATTTAATTTTTTTATATTTTACTGAATATTTTTGTTTGTTATATTTCACTGAATATGTAATCTGAAGGAAAGGTGGATGTTGGACTTTAAATAAGAAAAGTGACATTCAGTCATCACCAGCTTTTCTTAGTAATATTTTACCATTTCTGTTTTGAAATGTATTTATTTACGATTAGGAATTCTGAGCACATTCATTGGTTAGCTGCCACAGCCAATCAGAAACCAGAAGATCTACCTGCTGCATCTTGACTTTGTGCTGTCCTGCAGTAAAGGAAGGGGGGTCACACTCCTGCTCCAAATCTACTCTCATGAACTCATCGATGGTCAGCTGACTGGTGGGTGTGTCCTCAAACTCTGTTAATCTGCAGGGAAAGAAGAGGGATGTTGTAATCTGATAGCTGGGATGTTCTTGTGTGCAACGTGAGCTTCTTAACCCTCACCTCTTCCTCAGAGTTGTCTGGCACACCTTCACCACACCGATCACGTCCTTCACTGACCGACGAAACTTGTGCATCCGAGCTGCGACCAGGAGAGCTGAGGAAGAGGAGGAGGAAACTTTCTCTTTATCCAACATCAAGAGTCTTATTTGAAGTGATTTTCTGAGTGCTGTTGGAAGGTGACAAAATCCATATTGTACCAGCTCCACAGAGACCAGAAGGCCTGCGACCAGTGTGCATCCAGTCCCTCTTCATCCTCTGAACAAGACGAAGAGCCGTCATGGAAACTTCATGAGTTTTCTCACCAAATTCCAACATGTGAGCAAAGCGAGGGATGTAGAGGCAGGGGTCTGAAGGAAAGGAGTTGGGGGTCACCGTTAGTAAAAAAGTGAGTAAATATTTGCAAAAACACAACAAAGTCTGATCCTTGGCTAGAGAAGCTGGCTCTAGGGACGTGGAATGTTACCTCTCTGGTGGGGAAGGAGCCTGAGCTGGTGTGTGAGGTGGAGAGGTTCCAACTAAATATAGTTGGACTCACCTCGACGCACCGCTCTGGCTCTGGAACCAGTCTCCTCGAGAGGGGACACTCTTTCACTCTGGAGTTGCCCATGCTGAGAGGCGCTGAGCAGGAGTGGGCATACTTATTGCCCCCCATCTTGGTGCCTGTACGTTGGGGTCCACCCCGGTGAACAAGAGGGTAGCGTCCCTCAGCCTACGTGTGGGCGGACGGGTTCTGACTGTTGTTTGTGCTTATGTGCCTAACAACAGTTCAGATTACCCACCCTTTCGGAGTTCTTGGATAGAGTGTTGGAGAGCGCTCCTGATGGGGACCTCCTCATCTTGCTGGGGGACTTTAACACTCATGTAGACAATGACAGTGAGACCCGGAGGGGTGTGATTGGGAGGGAACCCCCCCGATCTGAACCTGAGTGGTGTTTTGTTATCGGACTTCTGTGTTCGTCATGGATTGTCCATAACGAACACCATGTTTAAGTATAAGGGTGTCCATATGTGCTCTTGGCACCAGGACACCCTAAGCTGCAGTTCGATGATCGACTTTGTTGTTGTCGTCTCATCTGATCTGCGACCGCATGTCTTGGACACTCAGTTGAAGACAGGGAGAGCTGTCAACTGACCACTACCTGGTGGTGAGTTGGCTCTGATGGTGGGGGAAGATGCCGGTCAGACCTGGCAGACCCAGACGGTGCACTGCTGACCTCAACTTGGGACGTTGTAGGTCGGTGGGCAGAATACTTTGTATACCTCCTCAATCCCACCAGCATATCTTTCCATGAGGAAGCCTAAGGACCCTGGGTGTTCCAACCCTCATCTATGGTCACGAGCTTTGGGTAATAACAAAAAGTATGAGATTACAGATACAAGAGGCTGAAATTAATTTCCTTTGCAGGGTGTCTGGGCTCTCCCTTAGAGAGAGGGTGAGAAGCTCAGTCATCCAGGAGGGACTCAGAGTAGAGCCGCTTCTCCTCCACGTCAAGAGGAACCAGTTGAGGTAGCTCGGGCATCTGGTTAGGATGCCTCCTGGATGCCTCCTTGGTGAGGTGTTCTGGGCACGTCCCACTGGGGGGAGACCCAGGACACGCTGGAGGGACTATGTTTTTCGGCTGGCCTGGGAACGCCTTGGGATTCCCCCAGAGGAGCTGGTCCAAGTGGCTGGGGAGAGGGAGGTCTGGGTTTCTCTTCTTAGGCTGCTGCCCCTGTGACCCGACCCCGGAAAATAGGAAGAAAACGGACAGATGGACATCAAAGTTCATCCATTTGAACATTAAATATCTTGTCTTTGTAGTGTATTCAGTTGAAAATAGGTTGAAAAGGATTTGCAAGTCATCCTATTCTGTTTTTATTTGATTTAGACAATTTCTCAACTTCACTGGAATTAGAGTTGTATTTTTTTTATCGAATCTTAACAGAACTACACAAACACATTCAAATTTTGATACTTTTATATTGAAATATTTTTAAGATCAATGTGAAATCTTTTATCTATACTACAGTGATTAAAATATTGTGATTTTAGGAAGAACAGTAACTGCCTTGGCTCTTTTTAGTCATACACATTGCACTAAATCAAGACAACCAATGTTTTACATTTAAGCTTGTAGGACTTCCCTATATGAGACATGTCATTTCCACGAGTTCTCGGTGGGGGGGTCTCATTATTCAATTGAATTCGGTTTATTTATATAGCGCCAAGTCACAGCAAACGTCTTATTGTCTTAATATTGTTAAAACTGTCTGCTTGTGAACACTACGTAGCCAAATACCATTGACCCAAAATCCTGAGTATGTTGGCCCGGCCCTGTAAGGTGATAACTTCCAGAACTGAACTGGTTTCCAGTGTTGTTTTCTTTAACGATGACAATATACTTTCATTTGACGCCCCCTTTTTTCATGACAATAACGTGACGGTAACAAAATAAACATGACTCTTTGATGACTAAGACGTGATGAAACGTGTGTGAGTTTTGGTTGACGAGACGAGACTGCAACGAAAATGTTAGTCGGTGGTCTGTCAATCATTTAGAATGCAGAGTGGAGGGAGGGACAGCAGCGCTATTACACACAGGCGCACACACAGCAGCACAGAACATATCCTCCTGTTCTCTCACAGCCTGCGCCGCTTCGCAAAAAAAAAAAAAAGAAAAGAAAAAAAAGTCCATCCGTGACCTGTAACCAGGGAGTAACGTCTCCACCATTATTAACAGCTGTAGCAGGTCCATTCTGAGCTCAGAAGCTGTTTTGTTTACGTTCATGACGAAAGTAAAACTCTTTTCTGTGTATTTTTTTTTTGTTTTTGTTTTTGGCAGGGAGAGTTAGCAACTGTGCATGTCACTGCTTCTGTTCTGAATAAAAGCCTGGTGCATGTAAACACTCGTTCGCACAAGTTTAATAGTCTACTAAGTTTAGGACTACATGACGTTTGTTTTTATAAATAAGATGCATCTTCATCATCCTGGCTGACAAGTTTGAGTTGAACGTGTGTGTTCTCCTTTTTTGCTTATAATATTGGGCATGTGCATTGTGTATGTTCATTGCACTTTAGCAAATTCTGAGAAATAAAGCCACAACGTGGGAATGTTTTTGATTTGGGCATTTTTAGATTAACACAAATTCACAAATGTTGACACAAATTACTCAAATTAATTTGTAAAGACTAATATGTTGTCTTTTTTTCAAGACTAAAACTAAACAATTTTTTTTGTTTTCGTTGACTAAAACTCGACTAAAACCATTAAATATAGAAATAACTAAAACTGACTAAAACTAAGAAGTATTTTTGTTCAAAAGACTCAGACTAAAATTAAAATGGCAGTCAAAAACAACACCGCTGGTTTCCTGTGTTCATTCAGCTTTCTTTGAGGCCTAAACATCCCCAGGAGTTCTGTTAAATCCATCATCTAGAATATGGAGCGTGTGTAAATCTACAGAGAGCAGGTCGTATTCACAAACTGAGAGACAGGAAGGACTATGGTGTGAGAGACCACCAAAGACACCTGAGACAACTTTGAAGGAGTTAAAGCTTAAGCAGGTGAGACAGAAGAGACTTTGCACAACAGGTGTTGTCCTGGTTCTTCCTGATCGTGTCAGGTAATACCAGGGTTGATAGATCCACCTGTTCTACACGGGAGCTGGGACAGGAAGTCTCACCGATGGCCGGTGCGTTGATGCAGAGCTCCCTCGCCAACAGCAGGAATGTCTTTCCCAGAATGTAAACGTTTACCTGCAGACAGAAAACAGGACGGATGGATGCAAGGTCAGAGGTCAGGAGGAGGTCAGGGGTCAGGATGAGGTCAGAGGTCAGGAGGAGGTCAGGGGTTGGGGGAGGTCAGAGGTCAGGAGGGAGGTCAGAGGTCTGGAGTCCCAGGTACCTGCAGCAGGTCACTCAGGTCCAGCAGCATGTCTGATGCTTCGTTCAGGAGTAGAACAAGTTCAGACTAATAAAACCTAAACCAGGTCAAAGGTTTCCCTGAGGTAATGGTTCTGGAAAGATTGGTTTCACTGGTCAGGAACATTTGGATCTGCAGGTAATCAGACTGATTCGTGACTATTATTTAAAAGGTAAAAAAAAGAGTTAAATCTTGATTATTTCACCGTATTTATAACTTGTTCCAACAACATAAAGAAAACCTTTCGGATTTTGTCTGCAGGACCATTATCGGCAGATACTGCATGCTTTTCACATGACAAAGACTGTGGCTAGGATACGAGGTGTTCCTTCAGTGCGACACACCAGGTAGAGGCAGGCAGCGATGACGTGCTCCATCTTGCGCCCACGGGTCAGATGTTTGCTGACTACGAGCTTGAAGAAGTTGAAGGCTGTGTCCAGACAGTGCTGGTTGAGCTGCAGCTGACTGCCGAGTTGCTGGATGTGACGCTTACCTGCAGAAACACAGGGTCAGTACACCTGGACCCACCTGAGAGACCTGTCATACAGCTGAGAGACCTGTCCTACAGCTGAGAGACCTGTAATACAGCTGAGAGACCTGTCCTACAGCTCAGAGACCTGTAATACAGCTGAGAGACCTGTCCTACAGCTGAGAGACCTGTCCTACAGCTGAGAGACCTGTCCTACAGCTGAGAGACCTGTCCTACAGCTGAGAGACCTGTCCTACAGCTCAGAGA